CATTTGCATTATTGTGAGAGGCATTTCAGGCAGAAATGAAGAAAACTAACTCTCTGTGGCCATTGCCCTTAATGATCAGATTACTCATATGTGCTGGGTCCTGTAGCTTTCCGTCCTGGTAGACAGGCGTGGATGATCACCCAAAAGTTTTTATTGCCTTTCCATTTTCCAACCTTCATGTAGAAAACTTTCTTCCCTTATACATAATTTCTCTATGTAGAGTAATATAATTGAGTAGATTATTTTATATTATAATCTATACTTCTCTTACAGCTCTCTTTTTGCATCCAGAAATACCTTCCTTTAATTAGGGGACTATAATACCTGTCTTACTGCTTTGATTAATGAGACAGTTCTACCTAGGACATCTTCAGGTAATTGGTTTCATATAGTTTATGTGAATTTTGCAAGTCTACGTCTCAGGGAATTGATATGATGGTGATGATAATGATGATGATCTGATAATGATAACAACGATATTAGCATGACCCTTTATGGAATCTTTACTGTGTTCCTGGCCCTGTACTGAGTGCTTCCTGCTTTATTTCCTGTAATCTCTATAATAAACTGATAACTAACTACTATTTATCTTATCTTCAGTTTACATATGATGATACTAAGGACAGAGAAGTTAAGTAGCTTATGAAGATCACACAGCTCTAAGTGGCAAAGCCTAGACTCTATCCTGGGCTAGAGCTCCAAGATCACTGTTCTCAATAGTTATGCTTGACAGGCTCCCAAATACGTCCCTCCTTTTCAGCTGGACTTGACCACCGTCTAAGAGTAAACAAGAAAACACTCTAAATTTTCCTGAGGAGCTACTGAAGAGATGAATTCAGGGGACACCTAAATGACCCTTCACACATGCACAGATAGGAGGGCTTACGCTAACCACAAATCTAACAGTATGTTGAAATCAGTATCTTTGTAACTGAAAGTATACTGTAATATGTAAAATGAAAATAAACATTCTTGCATTAGCGTTAAAACATACACAGGCATCTTTTGAATTGTTTCCTGAAACAGGTATTTTGAGTTTCCAGATATAGACTATCCCACTATGAAATAGTTGAACGTGGTTTAAACCATAATTATCATTCATTTTTTGACAATTTAGACTTTGAAAAACAAAATACATTTGGGAAGTCCCTCACTCAGGACTATTTCACGTCCCCACTTCTCTGCTTTATCTTTTCCACAACTCCCTTTATTTCAGTCTCCAATGCAGCCTCTCTACCTAACAGGTCAAAAATCAAAATCCTGGATGACGCACTGAGGTCTTTGGGAAGATATTTGTCCCTGTTTGTTAAAGTGGAAAGATGAAAGAGATAGAGGAAGGGGGCAAAGGTGCTTCAGGCTAGTAGCCTAATTTCAAGGTAACTGTACAGATTGCTCTGCGATTTCAATATTTAATTAATTTCAAGGGATTACATTGCTAACATTTCCTTATTAAGTCAACTGGCTTTCACCATTGTTCTCTTGTCTCTTATCAAATCCTTTGTTTAAGGAGCTGTGCTAGTTATCTTACAAATGGAGTTAGACAAGGGCTTTAGTACATTCTATGAATTGGCTTCCGTGTATTTGTAAATTATCCTGATAGGCACTCCTATAACACAATGAGGTCAAAACACGTTCACCGAAAATGGCCTTTCATGCTGTAGTCAAGCCAAAAAAGGAAATCATAAAGGTACCATGTTATGTTTGCAGAGGAAAGTTGTTAAATTCAATCCAAGACAATGGTTACTTTTCAGCCAATCTTAAAATGTACAGCAATAGGCTATTAATTAAAGAAGTGCTTATGAAGAACGTACTGTATGATAATAATACAAGGGAATTATTAAGATACAGTTCATGGTTTTAGAGAGTTTGCAATTTAAAAGAAGGACCAAGATATGCATGCAATTAATAAAATGGAACAAAACAGAACATAAATGCCATGTGTCAGAGGCAAAGTTTAGCCTGAAAGAACATAGCTGGATTGAATAGCGCTACTAAAATTCATTCATTCAACTGCTATTCATTGAGTACCTACTATGTGCCAGGTCATGAGACACAGCCGTTCTCACTACAGGACACCAATATCTGCAAATTAAATTCTTGACTAATTTTAGGATACAGGATAGAGAAAGGAAATAGCTTCAGCTTTGGAGTCAGAAAAACCTGAATCAAAACCTGGCTCTGTCAGTTATTCATCGGGTGACTTGGGCAAGTAATTTATAATCTCTTAGCTTCATTGCAGAAATCAAAGGGTCATCTTTGATTCTCTCTTCCAACCTCATCCTACACATAGTTCATCATCAACAAATTAGTCTTTAAATATTTCTTGAATACATCCCATCCTCTCCATCCCCACATCCCCAGTCCTAAGGCTGGCCCTCTTGATTTGTTTATGGTATCTATAAACCAAATTGGTTTTGCTATCCCCATATCATTCTTTTTCAATCATTCATGCATGTTGTAACCAGAGCAATCTTGCTAAAACTTTTATCTCACTAACACTCCTCTGCTCACTTCTCATTGCCCAGAAGATGCCAGTCTATACTTCTTAATACAGCATTTAAGACCTTTAATAAGCTGAACTGTGCTTACATTTGTAACCTCACATGCCCATCTTCCTCCATATATACTCTCTGTTTCTCTAACCACCTGCCTGTTTTGTGCCTCTGTACCTTTCCACATGCTATTTTTTAGTGCTAAAGCCTGAAACATTATCCCCATCCTCACTCCACCAATCCTATCTGGAAACGTTAAAATTTTACTCTTCCTTCAACATTTTGCTCAAACACCATCTCCTTTATGGAGCATTCCTTGATGAGCCCAGCAAAGGTAATATTTCCATCATCAGTGTACACACGGCATGTTTTACATACCTATATCAGCACAGTGCATTTAATGTCATTATTTGTGTATATGCTAATTACCTCAACAAGACTGAACACCTGAGAACAAAGACAAAGCTTTTCACCTTTGAATCCTCAGTCCTAACGTAATGTCTGCCATAGAGAGGCTGTGGAATAAATATTTATCGTAGTAATGAAGTCAGGTTTGGGGATCAGTGGAAAGAACTAAGAAATGCTTTGTGGAGGAGGTGGTATTTGAGGCAGCCCTTAAAAAACTGAAATATTTTCTGAATTTTAAAAATATAATGTTGCAATGTTCAGTTTTTTAACATACATAAATGTATATATCTTCATGATTCTCCCTTTAATACATAAGTATTTTGCAGGCAAAGCTTTGTATTTTCTATTCAAGGCCCTAGGTGCAGTGCTCTGAGCATGGTGAAGACTTAATAAGTATGTTAATTATCTGATTTAAAGAAGCATCTTCCTCATGTCTCTTAGAGGAAGGTACCACTCTGATTCTCCAGTACCATGTGGTATCAAAAACACTTGACTTTTTAGCTGTGTCATAGATGGCTCTACACCATACCTTATAGCAAATAAAAATGCTGATATTCACTATGTATATTTAATTTCTGCTGAACATATTTAAAAATATATAATTTTATCCACAATGGAAAACACAGACCCTGGGCAACTCACTGCTATTCAATTTAGCTCTCCCTGGGCAGATCACCAAAGTCTGATTGTAAAAGTAACAACTTGGGCATCTCTCCACCCCAAATCATGTCTATTTCAGGTTATCAGTGATGGTTAAGCTCTTAGGTATTCTGGCAGATTTCTTAACTAAATTATTAAATAGAATTAACAATACTTTCTGAGATATTCCATTCTTATCCTAACTATTGCATGTGCCCACATAAGTAGTTCATTTAAGTAGTCATACAGATGAAAAAACACTAACACCAATAAAAAAAATTATGAATTACAGGAATCCAGAACACAACGGAGAAAGAAAAATAAATCTATACTGTTGCAGTCTGCTTTAGGGACAACTATGGCCTTCATTCTAAACCTTCATATTTACTAATATAAATCTTTCTATCCTGGTACCACAGCATGGTTAGGAGCCAGGGAAATCGTCTTTGCAGGCCTCCATGTTTTTTTCACAAGAAAGAAGAAACCTCTGCTGTTTGTAGATCTTCAATTGGGAAATCCCTGCATAATAAGAAAGGTATTGGCTAAATTTGAGGAGCTCATGAAGCATCTAGAGGAATATTGTTAAGTGGATAGTGTAGCATCTGAGATGTAGTTATAGATATGCAGACATCAATACATGTGGATTAGGAAGGCAAATTTGGAAGGGAGGGCTGGGTGACCTTTCTCTCTTCTTCCTGTCAAAAGCCTGAAGGTTGTTCACACGGGTGTCAGCACTTTCGGCGTTTTCAGGTGGGTTCTCAGCCTACAGTCACCCTTCGACTTGCTCCAGGCCAAGCCAGATTTTCTAAAGCAAGGCAACTTCATTTTCCCGGCAAATCCTCAGACCCACGCACCTTCTCACACCTCTGCGCTTCTGGGACCCTGAGCTAGTGCAGGCAGAGCAGAAGGTGCGAGGAGAGGCTCAGAAAGGGCGGTGGGGACGACCCCCTTTCGAACTGCATTTGTAGCTGCCAAGGAGTAGCCAACAAGCACCAGATTTATGTGCACTTTGAAAGAAGCACCTCCACCATTGGCTTTTTGAGCCGCGCTGTCGCTAGGGAGCTGCGGGCAGGGCGAGCACAGCCTCGGGGAGAAGCCCGGGCTGTTTGTTCCTGTAACCTGGGCGAGGGGCACACACAGTCGGGAGCGCGGACACATACACAGGCGCGCGCGCGCGCGCGCACACGCACGATCGCCGGGAGTTCGAGCCCCGCGGCCCCTGTGCTCCCGAGAGCGCCCCCCCGGCGCCGCTCGAGGTGGAGCAGCACCTTCCCGGCTCGCCTACTCGCTCCCTGATCCCGCCCCCTGATCCCGCTGCTGCCGCCCAGAGGGGAAGAAGCCTGGCGCTTGTGCCTCCAGTTTCCCCGGCGCGGGGCGCTGCGGAGACCTGTGGGGGTGGGCGCGGGAGGAGCAGGCGATGAATGAGTTTTCCTCTCGCCTCGGAGTTGTCTGAGTTGGCGGCGCCGCGCCCGGGCTTCCGGCTCTCGGCGCCCCACGCACTCGCGGCTCCCGGGGCTGCAGCCCACGCCCGCGCCCGGGGCTGAGCGCGCCGCGCCGGGGAGCCGAGGCTCCGGAGCTCCTGTCCCGGCCCCGGTCCGGGGAAAAGGAGGCTTGTTCCCAGCGGAGGCGCACGGCCGTGCGTCTTCCCGCACTCTCCGCGGCCCCATCTGTCTCTCCATGGCGTCTCATCAGCAATCCCGGATCCAGGCTTACCTGGAGAAGAACAAGATCGGTCCCCTGTTTGAGGTAAGGCGCTGTGGATGAGGGCGGTCCCGTTTGTCTTTGGGGGAAGGGGCGCAGAACACCCTGGAAGGAAGGAGGGATGGAGAACAAAAGCGCGGGAGGGGTCCCCCTGTGGCCCCAGTTCACTGGCATTCGCTCTGTCCGGGCCAGATGTCCTGGAGCGCGGCCGGGCGGGCACTCCGCCGGTTACCTGGGCGCGGACAGGTGAGCTCGGGAGGGCCCAGCCTCAGCCTGGCAGGGGAACTTTGAGCCGTCTGACCGTCCTGCACCTCGCAGTCACATGCACAGGACCCGGGCAGGCTGAGATGGACGGATGCACACACTTAGGCTATCTTACACATGCACACTTTCTTCCTGGAATTCGCGCTATCATGCATATTGAATTTTTTAAAAATGTGGGTAGTAGTAGAACCGGAAAAGGTGGGGGAGATGCTTAGCAATGGGAAGGAATACGGTTAACTGGGAGGAAACTGAACTGGTGGGGAGCAGGCTTCAGTAAGTGCGGGCGTGTTGAATGAAATTGTCAAAGCGAGACGCTGACATTGGTTTCTGGATGAAAGGGGAGTCGTTTGCATTGCAGACCCTACATGTGTTAGGGGGGAGAAAGGGGCGGAGAAAGGTTCGGGAAAAGCACACACGTATTTATGGTAAGGAGACGTGTAGCTCTGAGCTGTTTTCTCTTGCCATCAAAGAATCGATGACAAAAATACAGTAGGAGAAAGGAAGAGCGGGAGGACACGAGAAAATGAGAACCGGAGACTGAAACCCGGCAGCGGCAAAGCGTCCCACCGGTTGCCAGGGCGCTGGGCAGAGGCTGAGGCCCGCGGGCAGGGACGCCCAGGGTCCCTTCTCTTCGCGGTCCGACCCTGCAGCTGGCACGGACCAGCGGCGAGAAGACGGAGGAGGGTCGAGACGCGCCCCCGCGCTCCCTCGGCCGCTAAAAAAGCAACTGTGGCCATTCTCCGCGATTTACTTGGCGGCGGCTTCTGAGTCAGGCTGAAACGCGGCAGGAGGAAGAGAGAGCGGAGACTGGAGATGCTTCTCTGGGACTGAAGAGAAGGATAACTACAGAGAAACAAAAATGATGCGAATTAATGCCCCAGCCCCAAAAGGGAGAGGAGGACAAGGGTGTGATCAGATAGTTCTTTTCTCTGGGGAGAACGGGTTTCAGATAACCAAGATTTGCGAAATCTCAAGTTTTTCTGGCCAACTTGAAGTTAACGTGCTGTCTTGGAAGATAGGACCATTGTTTCAACGGAAACTCATTGTTGTAGAGAGTTGTAAAGTCCTACAGTGTGTATCTTGATTCTTGTTTCTGTCAAAAGTGTTAGCAAGGGAAGTCCATATACAAAAGCAAAGCAGAATTGCTGGACCTACTAGAATTCTTTTGTCTTTAGGCTAATGATTAGAAATGGTGCATAATCATATATATATATATATGTTTTAAAGAAAAGCAGAAGCATAATAACGCTTTGTGACACTGTATTAATTGCATCAAAAGAAATATAAAAAAAATACTTTTACAGTGTTTCTACTCTCCTAGAATATAAAGTACAATTTACCGGGAGAATAAAGGAATTGTTTTTAACAGATGCTGTTCTCATTTAACTTATTTTAACATTCCCAAGATTCTCTCCAAGTGATAATAATAGAGTTTGGAATATATGTAAACTTTCCACATAATTAGGAAATCAGACTTGATTTTATCAAGTGCTCATTTTTTAAAATGCTCACCAACTAGTTCTGCACTGATGAATTTTAAGTGATGGCAAAATTCTCTCATAAAATCATAAGACCTCCTCACTAAAAAACAAACGACGACGAAATTATATGCTTTGTATTTTATTGATTTTTCGGGTGACATATGACATACATCCCCATTAGCAGGGATTACAGTGATGAGTATGTAGTTAATTTTAAGGGCTGATGTGCACTTTAAATAACTGAAGGGAGAAAATGCATAAGTTCTTTTCTACTACAGGTAGGTCCTTATGCAACAATTTTGATCATGATAGAACTTGGTTTCGAGAGTAGAATTACACATACTTCATAAAATTGGAAAACCTCACTAGCTTTTAGCCTATCTCTCCTCATGCTAGAAAACCAGTGAAACTAGTGTAAAATGGACAGTGTTGATCTAACATTGTCCTGGAAGCTCCCAGAACTTTGGGCAATAGTTCTCATAAGAACAGCTTCAGGAGAGCAGAGGGGGAGCCCAGGAATCTGAACTTAGTGAGAAGTGGCACAGATGATTTTTACATATTTAATTCCTGGAGCACATTGTAAGAAATGGTGACTCAAGCTAAAATCTCCTCTTACCAATCACAAATTGAAATAGTTATATGACTCCGAGTTTTATTGTGGTTTGTTGTGGTTTTTTTTTTTTTTTTTTTT